CAGACTTATCGTTGACAGTCTTATCGAACCAATTGATTAGGTCTTGATCTAGAGGATAAGACCCAACAGCCGTAACAAAAGGTCAAGCTGACAAAACCTGTCAACCTATCTAGGTTCAGACGTCACCATAGTACCTTCAACCTATGGAGTATCCGACCAAGGAGATCATAGTGAAGAAGAAGAACAAGACTCTCACAACAGCAGTGAAGAACGCAGCCAAGTAGAAGAACTACTGAGCCCAGAAATCAAAAACCCCAAACCAGATAACCCCAAGCCAGAAAACCCTGAACCCAAGAAGCCTGAAGAAATCCCAGAAGATGCAGACATCACACTCGAAGCCCCACCAAGTCCCCAACACAGTGAAGAATACCATAGTCCTATAGAAGGACAATCATTTGAAATGGATCCACTCGAAGAAGAAGAAACACACATGAACATGACTGGAATAAAAATCCGCCTTTCACAGGACTTTGATGGAGATAGAAGCCGAACCACCAAATTTTTAACATCATGCAATATGTACCTGAGGGTAAATGGAGAAATCTACGATACAGATGAAAAGAAGATCATATTTGCATTATCCTTCTTCAACGGAGGAACAGCAGGACCATGGAAGGAAGAATGGGCTGAATTAGCAGGAGCCAATAACTGGGGCAGTTACAGAAACTTCAAGAATGAAGTAAAACTAGCCTTCTCACCTGCAGGGATAGCAGAAAACGCAAGAGCCGAATTAGAAAGCCTTAGGATGGGAGGAGCAGTATCAGTGGATGAATATATTGCCAGATTCAGAGCAGCAGCCAGCAGAAGCAAGATTAAAGAAGATGTATCCCTCATCGATCGATTCATGAGAGGACTCCCACCTAAATTAATGGAGAAGATAGCCACAATGGACAAATCGCCTACCAAGTTTGCCGAATGGTATAAATTCGCATCTCAATTCAATGGACAGTACTGCCATGCAAAAGCTATAGCAGCACAGATGAGAGGAGGAGGATCTAGACCATCCAACCATAATAAGAAGTACAACTTCAAACGAGACAACAGCCCCCGATACACTTCCAGAACCGATCCAAATGCCATGGACATAGATCGCTTAACTACTGATCAGCGAACCAATCACATAAAGAAAGGACTATGCTTCGAATGCCATCAATACGGACATAGAGCTGCGGATCACCGCAACGGAACAAACCTTAATACCCCAACCCCAGCCAGGGTCCCGATGAAAGGCAAAGATGCCTATCAGAAAATATGCGCTATGATTGCCAATTATGAGTTCTTTAGTTTACTAAAAACTCGTTCTCTATAATCCCAGGTTTCACTAACAAAAATGATTCATTCATTCATTGATTCATATTTCAACACCGCAGGAAAATATTTCCTTAATTGTCAATGCCATGTGGATATATCCACTTGTTGCACCA